AACAATCTAATTTTAAAATATTAGGATAAAACATAGAAGAATATTAGTAAAATACCCTGATGAATTGGTCTTTGTAATCTTGGTAAGAAACTTTTATCCATAAAACAAAGATTGACAGATTGTTTTATAAAAAGTAAAACATTCTCATGTGCAAAAGACACCATAAACAGAAGCAAAACAATATTTTCAAAAATATGGTAGACAGAAAACGAATATAATTTTCATGTAAAGTGCTTTAGCATATTAATAAAAAGAAAAACCAAACAATTTGGAAAGGATATGAACAGTAGACAAAATAGAGATATGGCCAGTGAAAATTTGTAAATATGCTCAACTTCATGACTGGTCAGGATAACACAAGTGAAAACATTAAGATGTCATCTTTACCCCATCAGATTGGTAAACCTGAAAGGACTTATCTAAAGCTAGTAAGGATATGGGGTAATTGACATTCTTTTATACTGTTCATAAGAATGTGAATTTTTAGCACCTAAAATGTACTTACTCTTTATCTCAGTGATCCTATCCTTCTTCTGGGAATCCATCCCAGAAAATACCAGTACATAAGGATAGAGTACAAGGATGTCTACTATTGATAACATATATTGTTAATGTAAGTTAATTGTTAAAAATGTATTTTTATCAATTACAAGTCAGTAAAAACTTCTTGAATCAAATATGGTACATTTAAACTATGGAATGTAATGAAGCTATATTGAAAATAATTGGTAGATAGTTATACCCTTGGGAAAATGTTCATGATATTTTTTAAGTGAACAATGGAAATTACTGATACTTACATACATATACATATATGATCATGTATTTTTTTCTTCCAGTTTTATTGAGATATAAATGACATACAGCACTTTTTTAAGTTTGAGGTGTACAGCATAAGGATTAACTTACATACATCATGAAATAATTACCACAATAAGTTTAGTGAATATCCATCATCTTATATAGATACAAAATTTAAAAAAAATTTTTTCTTGTGATGAGAACTCATGATTTACTCTCACCAACTTTCATATGTAACATACAGCAGTGTTGTTTCTTATATTAATCATGTTGTACATTATGTCTCTGGTACTTATTTATCTTATAAAGGAAAGTTTGTACCTTTTGACCACCTTTGTCACCATACAAAAATGTTACGTTATTCTAGACTATATTCTCCACGCTGTACATTTCATCCCCATGACTGACTTATTACTCATTTACTTTGTAACTGGAAGTTGGTACCTCTTAATTTCCCTCACCTATTTCACTCATTTCCCCACAACCCTCTCCTCTGACAACCACCTGTTTGTTCTCTGCAACTATGGCTCTGTTTCTGTTTTGTTCTGGTTTGTTCATTTGTTTTGTTTTTTAGATTCTATATATAAGTGAAATTGTATTTTTCTGTCTGACGTATTTCACTTAATGTAGTACCTTCTAGGTCCATCCATGTTGTTGTAAATGCCAAGATTTCATTCTTTTTTATGGCTGAGTAACATTCCATTTTATATTTATATACCACATCTTCTTTATCCATCCATTTATTAATGGGCACTTAGGTTGCCTCCATATTTGGCTATTGGTAATAATGCTACAATGAACATAGGGGTTCATACATATTTTTGAATTAATGTGTTTTTTTTCTTTAGAAAAATACCCGGAAGTGGAATTGCTGGATTGTATGATAATTCTATTTTTAATTATTTGAGGAACCTCCATACTCTTTTCCATTTTGCTGCACCAATTTGCATTCCCACCAACAGTGCACGAGGGTTCCTTTTCTCCAAATCCTCACTAGCACTTGTTATTTGTTATTTTTGTTAATAGCCATTTTGACAGGTGAGAGGTGATATCTCATGGTTTTGATTTGCATCTCCATGATCATGAGTGATGTTGAGCATCTTTTCATGTGTCTGTTGGCCATCTGTATGTCTTCTTTGGAAAAATGTCTATTCAGATCCTCTGCCCATTATTTAACTGGGTTGTCTGTTTTTTGGATGTTGAGTTGTATGAGCTGCAACAGCACACTCTCTGTGAGAGTCTGACACACGTATAGTGTGTGAGAGAGATGATAGTTTTGTGCATTTTGAGGTGGAGTTGTAAGAGTTTCTTTTAAATATTTGTGAAGAATTTGGATTTCTTTGTATTTTTCTCAGGAAATTGTCCACAGTTTTCATCAGATCCTTAAGAGGATCTGTTCCTCAAAATAGTTTAAGACACTCTGTTCCTAACACCTTGTAAACATGACAGAAGTGGGCGTCTCATGACATAATAGACATAGTACCCATGACTGTGAATGTGAATGTTCTATGACATCTTATCTAGGGAAAAGAATTTGTAAAAGGAAAAAGGAGTCTGAGAAGCTTTAGCAGGGATACGTCTCTCAGCCATCTGTATCTCCCTTCCTCCTCCTCAGTCTCCTACTGTTCCCATCTTCTCTCAGTCAGGCAGGTAATTGGAAGTAGAGGAAGCACTGCTCTGGAAGGTGAACCCTATCCCTTGAAAACTTACTAAGGACCTGCCAGTAACCCACCAAATCTGTTCAGTAAAGTCTCCGAAGACTGCCTTGGTTCTGTGACTAAATGCAGGCAGGTCAGTGGCAGGAACCAAAGAATATACAATATTCTTTCTCTGATTTCTTTCCCAGAGCTGGCATGGGAGAGATAAAAACTGGGTCTGAGTCATTTTCTATAATCACTCCACACCCTGCTATTTCTCATAACATGTCTCTGTGGATGATTAATGTGTTTACAAGCAGATAGTTTTTTATGAAGCATTTATTGACCCTTATTATTAAGATGCGTGTGTTTCACTGGAAGCATCTGCTCTGAGGCCTTTAAAGCACATGATGATAAAAATAGGCATGCATATGGAAGGAGTATTCTGTCCATGGACCACAAGCAGGTAAGCTCAGCATGCCAAATAGTGATGAAATAAGGGGGAAATACAATGGAAAAACACACTTGAGAAAAGTATTACATAAAATAATTTACTTATCATTCAGAATGACTTTCCAGACCTATTGGTGAGACAGCAGTCTGTGAGTACAGATACAATCTGAAAGTCATAACAGTTCTAATAGGGCAAGACCAATAGAGTTACCACGTTTGGATCCTGGAGTTAACTAGAGACAAAGTGTGGAACCGCATATAATAGAAAGGGGCGCTGATGAGGAACTCTGAGGACATTGAAAGCAAGACTGCCAGAGAGACAAAAAGTGTACAACTGAGGAAACCTATACATTTAATACAATGAGATTTGCATACACACACACTCCGGTGTCTTCGTTTTGCAGCCTATTACGTCTATTGGCTTAAAAGCCACAAAGGTGCCCATGCATGTAATTTATACTGGAAAAATCCTTTCAGTGTTCAGGTATGCATGTGTGTGCACTCCAAAGGCAGTAGTTTTAAAAGAATGAGAAGAAAATTACTTCCTGGCCATTCATTAATAATTCAGGTGATATCCTGCACCTCCATTTATAAAATGATACAGTAATAAAAACATTGTACAAAACATCATAAATAACATAAAGGAGACATTTTCAAGTATTTCATGTGCCTTGAGAAAAGTTCTAAACAGTAGTTCTAAATATTGGTATCCCTTTTTCCTTTTTTTTTTTTCTTTTCTCTCTCATTTCATCTCAGAGCCTAGAAAGAAATGCCTTCAGTCTCTGTTAGTCATGATGTTTGGGATGGAATGAACCAGATTCTACCTTCAAAAGAGAAACTTATGAGGGCTCTTCAGTTTGTGAAAACACGTTCCCCCCTTATAAAATAGAATCTCTCCCCTGATGCTGGTTTATAAGGAATACGCAAATAGCCTAGAGCCATTATGGGGAAACAAACAACCACAGTGAAAGAAGGAGCCTCATCTGATGGCTAAAGTTCTCAGGGAAAAACAAAATGAGAAGAGCACCTTAATCAAGAGAGGAAAAAAGAGTAGAGGATAAGAATATTAACCTTTAAATCCTGTGCCCTTACTCAGCAAGCATCTTATTGTAGGTAGAGCTGGCGAGGCCCTACCTAAGTTTCTTCATTCTGTTCAAGCACCTCATCTCCAACTCCATACCAATCCGGCTGCCACTATTATGCACCAAGTACCCAAGCAAGGAAGGGGAGGCCAGCAGCTTGGGGACTCAAAAGTGCCATTAGTGATAACCAGCTAAAGACAGCCCTGTGTCAGGCAGGCATAAGATTCTTTATGTTTGCTCCTTAGAATACTGTCCAACTTGGAGGCTGTCAGTGGTTAAACTAAGCATGAAATCCCTGGGATGTTTCTCCAGCAAAACTCATGGAGTTTTACAGAATCAACTTTCCACAGGTTAGCATTCCTTTCTTAGCCTGCAGGGCAGCTGGTTTAGTTTGCCCTGTTCAGTTGCAGAGTGAAAGACTGGGGATAAGAACACGCATGTATGTATGTACACACACTCTAGTTATGAGCACCTAGGGTCTTTCCTGCCATTCTTGCAAAAATATATATGTATGTATATATACATACATATATACAGAATGTGTGTATGTACATATATACATGTGTATATACACACACGCAAACACACACACATGCACACTCATATGTACATAAAATAGATCAACCTCATCTAAACATCTCGAGTTTGGAGAAAATGCTGGTTAACAGAACACATGTGCCTGTGGATGTCACATGAAGTGTCCCAACCACCAACCAACCAAACTGAGGTCACACTGTTGGCAGGAGAGAAAATCCAGACCCACAAGGCCATTATTTGGATACTTGCTCACATGGCACCCTAAAAGAAATTTGGGAAAACTGGACTGGAATGAGGTCCTGCCCTGATGAACACCAAAACACCAAAACAAAATCTAGTTTTTGTATGGGAGTGACTCACACATAGCCAGCAGCATGAACACTAGGCTACAATGTGAAGAAAGCACTGATGCTTAATACAGATCAATATTTGGCCTCATGTTTTCCAGGTGTAGAGTCTTGGCATTTCAGCCTCCACCACTGAGCAAGAATTAGGCACACTGGGGCACCAGGGAAGGACAGTCTGTAGAACTCTTGGCTCCTTTCTGCTTCTCTGACCCACAGGTGGAAAGGTTGGCCAAATCAAGATAGAATCGGGACTTGAGGAAGCGGCGGTATGAATCCTTTTCCATCAGGTTGAAAATCTTCTTCTGAGCCTCATCAAAGCAGGTTATCGTAGGCTCCAGCATGTTACGACTTGTCTCCTCCCTGGTGCAAGAGTCCAGGTTTACCTAAGGGGCAGAGTCCAAGGCTTCATTAGACATTTTACCCCATAAGGATGGGAGGCTGCATGCTTTGTACTGTGTGCACTCTCTATACCCCAGAAGTGAAAAAAAAGGACATTCGGCTCGACCCTGGCACATGTGAGAGAACATAAAATGTTCATCTGCTTCAGGGTGGGTAGGGCAATAACTTCAATGATTTCTCACATACTTGGGATATTCCTCCAAAGAAATTCATGATGGGAGATCATCTGGATGAAAGAGCTTTTTACTTAACTTCTTTATTTGGGGTTGTCAAGATTGTAATAACCTGCTTCACTGTTGTACCTTTAACTCACATCGTCTAAGGATCCATGCCGTTGAATGTCTAGAAAATTTCACTAGGATGCAGACAGTTCTTTGCTATGCAGACCTACCTCTTTGGTTGCCTGGACTGAGATGAATTCATTATAGATCTTTTTGGCCTTGGGACTTAGTTTAGAGGGTGATTTGATTTTCTTGTACTCTTCACAGCTGACCCAGAAGTCAATGTTCTCCTCACTGTATTCAGACTTCAAGAAAGCTTTGAAAGCGGCCAGTCCACCTGTGACAGAGGAGAAAGAACTACAGTTGTCATCACAGTGACTGCCCTGGTGGGCACTCTATTGCAGATAAAGCTGGGGTGCTTGAGGGAACAAGGCATCCGTTCAAACAGTGCCCTATTTCCTCCTTTTGGGAGGTCACTGGAGGTCAGATGTTTGAAGTTTCTTTCAAGAAAGTGTTATGTTTCTGAAATGCCTATGCTGCCCTCAATTGCCAAAGTGAGTTTGGGAAAGAGAGACTGAGGTCGATTCTGCAAGAAATCTCAATATTTGGGGGTTTTCCTCTACCCTTTTCCTATGTGATGAAAGAGATGGTTTTCTACCTGGATTGTGTATGAGCTTTCTATTGTATATCACAAAGCTCTAGGATATGGTAAAATTTTAAGCAGGCTGATTTTCTTGAGTCTGAAATGCAGAAGAAATCCAAGGCTTTCTGTAATTCCTATGAGATCAGGCATAATATGAGATAACTTGTCTATCCAGTGTGCTTTATCTTCATCCCAGGGAGTGGAGGTTGGGGGAGAAGCTGTCATACTTACATTCATGACTAATCAGGTTTTCCAGTGATTCAGCCCACTTTTTGACTTCCTCTTGGCTCACCCTAGAGACATTACAGAGGAAGAATAACCTGAATGCGAGGATACAAAATGGGGGCAAAACATTTAAGATCCTGAATAAAATCCAGAGATTTTATTTTCCATCATTACGCTGAGACCTGTCGTTGCACAGGGCTGTCTTTCCACTAGATGTATGGAAATTTCAAATACAAACATGATCTCCATGGAAATGGAGGCCATGATGATCCAAATCTAGGTTAACTAGGGACATAACTTCCTTTTCTCCTTACAGAACATCCCTGTCATCAGATAGTTAATACGCAGTGGCTCTTTGCCAAGGCCTTTTCTCTTACCTCTGACAAATCACCACTTTGTCCCTCTTGCTGTGGGAAGAATTATGTTCACAGGAATCAGACTTCTGCAGCAAGAAACCGAGCCGATGTTTCATATCTTTTGCACTGCACAGAAGAGGGCAAAAAAAAAAAAGAAAAGAAAAAGAAAAAAAATGATACTCAGCTCTCTTTAGAAGATACCCTAATGGTACAGTTCAAAGGGCTCATCACTAGTAAAGGGGCAGGGGTAGTTTATTTAGGATATAGGAGTTGAAGCTGGCATGAACTCTCAGGAAAATGAGATTCCGCTTCTGCTTCTGCCTATGACTTACTGCAAAACCTGGAGCACAGCCTCCTTCACCAGTAACTGGAATTCTGACCCTTCAGTCTACCTGAGGAGGCTCTTCTGTAAACCTGTCATTTTGACCAAAGGAACACTTAGGTATCTTCAGCAGAAACACATCCGAAACTTGACTATTCTCTGAGTAAGTTTTAGGTATTGGAGAGCAAGCAGTGAACCGTGAAATATAGCACTTGCTTGTTGTGCGCCACCTTCTGGAGGGTAGTTGTTCCTTCCATCTGCCTCACTGCTAGCAGAGCAATGGAGAAGAACCTGAGGAAGTAAAGGTTTGTTCAATTCCAGCCTGGATGTGCTGAGCAAGTCACATTATGGAGGTGTGCCACTCCAGCAGAGAGGAGTGGAAAATGAGGGGGTAAACACAAATGTTCAGGCTGAAACCTGAGCTCCTGCAGGTTTGCTTCTAAGGAAAGCAAGCTTTCCTGCTATTGCTACTACTTTCCTTTTTAGCATCTACACTATAAGGATATTTACACTATAAAGGACATTTGAGGCTTAAAAACAATAATAAGGAGAAGAAAGCAAGAGTCATCACTGAAGCTCCTGATTGTTTAATTGGAGCCGAGCCTCCAGCTTATGGTCACTGTTTAATAGGTAGCTAGGGTACGGCAGGGCACGTGACTCACTCAAAAAGGAGAACCTTTTAATAAGCTTTGAGCTCAACCACCTCACTTTTTGTTATTTACTCTTTTGCTTGGATCTCTTTTCTTATAAAAGCTGAGATACAGTCTTAAAGGAGAAATGTTGTTTTGAAGGAAATGAAAGACTAAATGAATGATGAGTTGTTCCTGTTTAGAGGGAGGAAAATGAAGCCACAAGGATAAAAGGACATTTTAGGATGGCTACTGATATAATAATGCCTTATCTATGTGCATTTCTCCAGAAAGTTTAAAATCCATTTTATTATTGTGCTGCCCCTAAAACAGTATCTTCTTTCCCTCACAAGACTGTCCTCCCTCCTCTGTTTCCCCAAGTGGTCACGGGATACAAAATCTTCCTTAATGATAGCAAGATCTAATCATGAAGCCTGCAGTGATTCTAAGGTGATAATGTAAGTATATTGTGATTGGGTCAAAATAGAAATCATCTCATGTTTCCATATGCCAGGTCCAGCTGAGATCTGACAGTTATTGACCAACATAGAATCTTTTCATGAAGACTTGAAAGTACTCTTAGCAAGTACATTACACTTGTCCTAATAACACAATACAACCACAGAAATAAAAACCAAGATGACTCCACTGACCTCTGAAGTAAGAAACCTGGATTTGATCTGCACTCTGCCACCCACCACCTACGTGACCTTGAGCATTTCACGTTCCCTCTGGAGCCTCAGGCACCAATGTGAGAATGAAGGTTTTGGACAAGATGATTCACAGTTCACCAGTGAGGAAAGGGAAGAGCAGTTGACCCTGCTGATATAGAGTTTACCTCCCCAGGTTAGCCTCTTAGCTCCTGGAAGGCAAAGCTCTAGAGCAATTACTCACCTGTCTCCTAAAATATTTACCAGAGCATAACCTTCTCCTGACACTCCTGTATTTTGTATGATTAATTTTCTAGATGAGTTAACTGAAGCTTGGATTGATTTGCTCCATTCAGTTAAGGAAATTAATGGTGGAGGTCAGAGCCACTGTTTTCATAAGTACTCTCTGCCAAACCCTCCTGATTCATTTTAAAGTAGCCATGAAAGAATGAAAAAAAGAACAGATTATTTTTTCATACTCCTGAATGACAGGAAGTAAACTCCTTAGGATTACACAAAAGACTGTGCTTTCTGAGATAATTCTGAATTGAAATTTAAGGTGACTTCACCCACAAATTTAAGATTTGCAGAGGAACAAGAGAGGGGGTGGTACATGTACAAATTGACTTTTTACTTTATAAGATTAAGTAATGTAATACGCACTAGTTTTGTATTTTTTCAGCTAATATATGAGCATTCTATGAAAGCATTTATTTATATCTTTTTTAAAACAGTGAAGACATATGAGTAACTGCATATCTTTAAGCTTTTTTTTTTTTTTAATCAAGAGACAGTACATTGACAAAACAATGTCTTTAAGATGAGATCTTCCACAGAGCCCTTAGCTGATTTGTTATGATCAATACTTCTCAACCACCAATCACATATGGCATTTTAAGAACTAGAGGTAGGGGCAGAGAGATAAGGGAGATCTAGTTTTGAAACTCTTATTTTATTGTAGCATTTGCTTATAAGGACACAGAGTGAAAGATACTGCAGCATCACACAGACAGCATAGTGCCTTTCTGGTGATGTAGCCAAACTTCATTCTGAGGTATCCTCCCCAAAACGAGATCTAGTATACAATCAGAAAGCCCAGATCCATGATTCTACGTACCCCAGTGATATTCAAATAACAGTAATACAGGTAGAGACATTACAGACCATTGTATATAGTCCAAAAACCTCATATCACTTCTTAATTAGAACTAGCTTGGTCAGAGAATCAGAACAGTCCTCAAGACCAAGGTCATAGAAAGCAACATATGGGATGCCAAAATTTGGAGTGAACACTTCCCAAGTCACAATTTCTAGCTAGTCTTGAAGGAAAGCTAGGAGGCTGATGCTCTCCTCACCACGTTGTTTCTAATTCCAAAGAACCAGGTTAGTAAGTAGGATATGCAAATAACTTAAAAAGTCTATCTGAAAGTTTAACACTATCTGGTTTAGTGGCTGAAAATAATCTTACCTCCTCAAGCAAGAAGCCGGCAGACCTGCAAGTCCTTTGCACATCTTGTGTAGTGTGGGATTCACGTTAGGAAAGAAATGCAGCAGGAAGAGCTGTGGCTGCTGTTCTGAGCGCACTTTGCCTTTTCTCCGGTAAAGATACTGTCAGAATCCTCTGAGCTTCTCCCTCCCAAGCCTGTAGGGGTCTCATTTATAGCCCAGCTAAGACCGTCCAGCCAATCAGATGGCAGCTCTGTAATACCATCTCCTCTCATCCTCCTTCTGTCTCTCCAGCCTCTGGAAGAGAAAAGGAAGAAAGGGCTGACGCAACAATGCAAAGTGAACAGGCAGAAAATTCCTCCTGCAAAGTAGACATACAGAAAATATAAACTTGCTCAGTGCTCTACGGATGTCTGAGGTTTTGAATGTCCAGAAAAGGAAAAGATAAGTTTACAATGCTACAAAACATGGGGTTTATTCATTGTCTGTAAAAACAATGTCAAGGGAACTTGCCTCCTGGAAGGAAAGGGGCTAGCAGGAGTTCATGGGCTTACTTTGGGGCTGATTCTCAATGCACTTCCTCATTTGGATTAGAAATATTATTTCGTACATGGTCTAAAATCTGATCCTCACTGTTTCCAAAAGGGAGTGGGCAGGATCCATCGTTTTCAGGCAGGGATTTGCAGAAGTTGCTTTCTCTGTTGCCATATTCACACAGGGATGTGCAGGAGGAATAGCTGGAAGACAGACAGTTATACACCTGGCAGCACAGAAAACTAGCTGAGGGAAAATAGATTAGCTACATCTGTAATCAGCCTAACTGTGGAATACTTTTCTAGAACCCTTACTAAGAACAGGACTCATCCAAGCATTGACAGTCTCTTTGGTACATGCCTGCCTCCAGCAAAATGCTTCAAAACAGCAGCCGGAAGACAAGAGGAGGGAACAAATGAACAAATATAGACACCTGTTCTTATTTGTAAGTGGATTTATATCTTACTATGTCTTATGCAATTCTAGGTATCCAAACTAGTATTTCAAAATATTGAGAAACAGTGAGACAGGGAGAAAAGAAACATATGTAGTTTGCTTTGCATGTTACCAGGGTCACAGTGAACATAAGAATATCTAACCCTGCAGGTGCTTCTGAACCAACCTGGACAATTAGTATTTTTGGTACACAATATGATGGATTGAATACTTCAAAGAATCATGCAGGTGTTTCACATCTTGTAGTCGTAGCTCAAATACTCATGTCAAAGTTACAGAGGCATCTTCTCTGTCTAGGAAGGCTATGAGTGGAAGGAGAAAATTAATTGCTATGTCAGAACTGAACAGCTTTCATTTTGAAAGCAGAAAGGTTCCTGATTATAAAATACAGGGAACTGTACTTCTATTATAAGAAGTTGAGGCATCTAAGTGTTTAGGTGAAGAAGATGAAAAATAGATGGGTTCCAGTGAGATGCAAAGGCACCCAAGAATATAGAAGGGAAAGTGGTAAAGAACAAGGCCCTTACCACATACATGACCCTGAACATCCCTCACTGCTAGCCCCTGTCTATGGCTAGCAGAACAAGGAGATGGCCGAGAAATCTAAAAGCGTGGTGAGACCATAATCTCCAGAAGATGCATTTAAATTACAGGAAAAAACTCTGGTCTTCTCCCATGAAGATAGAAAAAAAATGTATTAGATTAGCTACTGGGCAACTTTTCTTTGAGGTATAACATAGAACAAATGAATTTCTTTGGGAAGTTGGCAGCCATCCTCAGTGGTGTTGTGGAAGGGACTACCGCCCAGTGCAAAATGCAAGAGGCCAAGGAAGGTAGACCCAGGGAGATAAACAAGTCAGAAATGGCATCAAAGAGGAGGGACTAATTAAAAAGGAAAAATGGTCACCCAAAGGTGGACCAGGGCCTTCTTTGCTTACCTGGGCATCCAAGATAGTGATCACTTAAATAATCTGATTTTGGGAACATGAATGAAGACCTGATGGGAACTTGATATCTTGGACCTAGATCAAAGAGAAGCCTGGTTTGTCATGAGTTAAATATAAACAGCTTCAACAGATGAGCTGAATGGGATTTAAGACAATCTAGACTAACATCTTAATTTTATCAAAAAGGAAACAGAGAGGGAAGGTGACTTGCCTTTTTACTAATAGAGCTGGTTTCTTGATGCTAGATTATGTGGCTTTTCTACTGCTAACCTATCACTCAATTGTCTTATCTAATGAGATAAACTATGTAAACAGAGGTATTTCTAAATTGTAAAGTGCTACACAAATATTTTTTTGTTTACATTATACACAGTAGATAACAAAATGTAATATTACTTTTATACTCTTCATTCAAGGAAAACTCACCCTGCCCAATTTTCTCTTGCTCCATAACTGCAGGAGTTGCCGCAAACCTCACGGCTCTGGTTTTCCATTAAAACTAGGTCTTTTTAATTTTATGACTAGTCCATTAATCTGTGAGAGCATTTTGTATTTATTCACTTCTTTATGATTTCTCTCTTTCTTAGGAGTTTTAATATTTTAAAGAGTGTTTGGAAAAGCTTTTCATAAGTTAACTTATTTTTCATTTGGGAGGCGAGGACTGGTACATCATGATACCTTGACAATTTTCTGCCCTCTTTTTCCGACATACACAAAGCATTAAATTCTATTATTCTATGACTTGTCACTTCTGGATGATTCTGGTGATGTGGAAGAGCTTTATTCTAAAATGATTTAATTTTTATTTACTCATTTATTTAAGACATATCTTTTGAGCTCCTACTCTGTGACAGGTACTGTTTGAAGAATCGCTGTTACAATGGTGAATAAGAAAACAGGGTCCACACCCTAATGGAGTTTTCATCCCAGTAGAAAGAGTCGGGAAGTAAATAAGTAATTCTAGATTCACCCATGTCATAAAGAAAATAGGCAAGTGATAGGAAAGAAACTGGATAGCAAAGGGCTCATTTAGCCAAGGTGGCCAGGAAAGGTCTCCTTGAACAGATGATACCTGAAATGAGATTTGATAGATCAGAAAGAATGAGAAATGAGAGAAGCCTAGAAAATATATACCAAATACAGGTAAGAGCAAATGAAAATGTTCTTTATATAATTGGGAAAGGGCAAACAGGGGCCAGCATGGACAGAGAATTGAGAACAAGGAGAGAATAGCATGAAGTAGAGATGGGGAAGTAGAGGCCAGGTCTTGCAAAGATTTGTAAGCCATGGTCTGGAGGCTGGACCTTATCAACATACCATGGAAATCTACTGAAGGGATTGAAGCAGGTGATGGGCATGATATGATCATTCTGGCTATCTGGAAGTATGGATTGAGTGGGAGCATGGAAGCAGGTTGACCAGTTAGCAGAATTAGCAGTTTGGATCCTAGCTCATGAGTTTCTACATTGCAAAATGGATATTTACTTCACAAATATTTTCTAGAATCTTTGTGCTGGACATTCTGCTAGGTCTTAGTGACCTGAACATAAATCAGAAATGGTCTGTACCTTTTAGGAACTCACACTCTCATGGGGAGGATCTTTAAATAACTGGAAAACACTATGTTGAGTGCCATTATTATAAACTTGTTTATATAAAATTCGAGGAAAGAACAGAGAATGCAGAATAAGCACAAGCTCTGAAATTTGGAGTGGTTTTCACAAAAGAGTCTGTTAAAGGATGAATAGAGACTTAGCAGATGTATAAAGAAGAGAAGAGCATTACAATAGAGGGCAAATAATAACAGCTTTTATTTTATTGGGCACTAATAGTGCAGCGCACCATTTTAAGCACTTTATGTTAGTTAATAACTCAGTTATTTTTCATAATTCAGCCTGAAATAAATTCCTGCAATGAACCCCATTTTACAGTTGAGACATAGAGAGTTTAAGTAACTTACCTGAGGTTACATATCTAAGTGGTGGTGACAGGTGTTCAGCTCAGACTGTCCAGCAGTTTTATTATTAACCCCTATACCATTGACCTCTATGTTGCCATGACCATAAAGGTTGAAAGAAAGCATATATTTTGGAGACCATAGAGATGTCTAGTGTGATTATAGCTTTGGGGGAGAGGGAGAGTGCAATGAAGATAGATGAGTACTCTGAGACCAAAGGGTGTTTCATGTCACATTGAAGACCAGATTTTACCCTGTAGTGGTTGGGGGGCTAGCCAACGTATATAAGCAGATAATATTAATGTTCTAGAAGTAGCACTTGGGCAACACTGCAGGGAAACAGATTGGACATGAGAGAAACTGGCAAAAAGTTTGAAGACTATTGCAATAGTCCAAGTGAAAGATGATGATCATAAAAAATAATACTGCACAAGATAGTTGCAAGAATCACATGAGGTAATACATATAAAAGTGTCCCTTAAACTGTAAAATGCTGAACATCTGGAAGGTATTGTTGACAAAAAGGATAAAGAAGTGCTGTTTCCTACTGGGGGAGAGTAAGCCACAGCAGAATATAAGCTGTGTGTGGTCTCCAGGTAAGTTTCTAATTTCCTCACCTTTAGCTCAGGGAGAACAAAGGAAAGCATTGCTCAAGTTCTGAGGGAATCTAGTACAAGGATAAGCTGCTGTGGCAGGCGTCCGATTCTTTGCTTCCACCAGGTTTTAGAAAGGGGCACCTCTTCCACTAGGGCGGATGTGGGCCTGGGCTCAGCCTGAGGTGTCATTCACACCATCTACAATTTCCTCTCAGCTGTTAGAAGCCTCCTTCCCCCATATTGTAAACTACAATGGCCTGGATATCATTGAGAGTTCACAGTTATTGATTTTTCAAGCTAAAAAGTAAACATACCCAGCTGGAGGATGCTGTATACCAGGAAGATGAACAGGGACTTTCCCAAGTTTGTCTTATGTTTGGGAAATGTGTCCTGCTCTCTACATCCAGCTTTGTAAGCACATGCGGTAAATCAGAGCCTCTCACCCTGACACTTGACACTTAATTAACTGGAGGGGAAAATCTTTTTTTCCCCAGAAGTAAGGGAAGAACAAAAATATCTCTGCCTCAGAGATTAAATCTTTCTTAACAGAACTTAGCCCAAGATAGAAAGAGTAGTTTCATAAGAGTTCACTTACCTCATGCCAGTAGAAAGAGATGACATGATGTCATGGCAGGTGCTTGAACTTTATAGTCAGGCAGACTTGGATTTTAACTCTAGCTCCTCCACGTACTGGAGTGGGCCTGAAATTTGGGATAATCTTTGTGACTTCCAGCTCCTTAATGTGAAAAACGGGATAATAGTAAATTATCTAATGACAGGTGCTCAACAGTATTTGTTGAATGAATGTTGTTAAGATTATATGACAGTGTATGCCAAAGTTATCAGGAACACTTGGGAAACTCAAAACTTATAACTTTTATTATATGGAATATATTACACAATTTTATATTGATTAGCATCATGATCATTATTTATCTCTTTAAAAATCAACCTTGGACTCCCATTTGCCCTCAAATGAAAATTTAAACTCTTTATCATGACACCCCAGTATATTCACACTTTGACTTCCACTTTATTCTTTATCATATTCTATCCTGCAGTCCTCCAAGACCACTGAGTATTCCCCCATATACCTGTGTATTTTCCCTACTCTGTGCCTAGGCTGACACAATGCCATCAACCTGGAATGCCCTCACAATTCCCTGCCTATCAAATTCTGCCCCCA